TTCGGCGCCTACCGCTGCCGGGCCTGCGCGCCGGCGCGCTACCGCGAGGCCTTCCGGTGCTACTGCGACCCGGACGTCGCGTCCTTCGACGACGACGGCGAGGACCGCCTCCGCTGCGAGGCGTGCCTGTCCTACTGCCACGTCTTCTGCGCGCTGGAGAACCCGGACGCGGCCTGCCCGACGTGCGCGCTCGCGGCCCCGGCGCGCCCCGCGGGCGCGAAGCGCGTCGCCTCCGCGCGGGGCTTCCCCGTCTTCGCGCGGAGCGACGCGCGCTGCCGCGACGAGACCATCGTCCGCGAGGTCGTCGGCGACGGCGCGTACGAGCGGCCGGCCATGGGCTTCGAGGTCGTGCCCGGGGAGACGTGGCTCGACGTCGGCGCCCACATCGGCGTCTTCTCGTCGCTCTGCCTCCAGGCGGGCGCGGACGTCGTCGCCGTCGAGCCCGACGCCGACAACTTCCGGCTGCTGCTCGCGAACGGCGCCGCGAACGCCGTCCACGACGCCGGCGCGGAGTTCAAGGCGCTCAACGTCGCCGTCACGGACCGGGACGAGTCGTCCACGACGCTCTACCGCCACCCGCGCGGCATCGCGTTCCGCCACTCCACGGAGCGCCGGCTGATCTCGCGCGAGCCCGACTGGCCGCGCGCGACCGTCGCCGCGACGTCGCTCCAGCGGCTCATCGACGACCACGCCGTCGACGGCGTGAAGATCGACGCCCAGGGCGCCGAGGTCGGCGCCGTCGAGAGCGTCACGGACTGGCGGCGCGTGCGGAAGCTCGTCCTCGAGTACGACTTCGAGTACCGGCCGTCGCTGCCCAAGTTCCACGCCTTCGTGAAGCGGCTCCGGACCCACTTCCCCCGCATCTACCACTCCAAGCAGAAGAAGTCCGGCGACTTCTCGGGCTTCCCCAACGGCGTCCTCGTCTTCGCCATGCGCGAGCCCCCGGAGTAGGCCCGCAGAGCAGGCCTCCGAGTCGCCTAGGGTAAAAGTAGACGTCTCGTCTTCGCCATGCGCGAGCCCCCGGAGTCGCACTAGGGTAAACGTGGACGTTGAGTACTGCGTTGAGTGCATTCAAACACAGCGGCGCGATGGATGAGATGCTGCCCATGCCCGTAGTCCGACGCTGATGCTGCCATGGGCGGCCTCTGCTCGAAGAAGGGCGCGGCCGTCGAGTCGAAGAAGGAGGACGAGAAGGAGCTGCGCCTCGACAACCGCAAGCGCAACTCGCTGGTCTTCGCCGTGACGGACTGGGTCGGCACGGACTTTGGCAAAGACGCCGAGTCCCTGGCGATCCTGCTGTCGAAGCGCACGAAGGAGTCGAGCTCGAGCGGCGGCAACGACCCGCGCGGGTCGCGCGCGGCCAAGACCGCGGAGAGCATCGCGCTGGGCAACTTCCGCGAGCTCCGCGAGATTATCATCGGCCACTTCGCGCAGGTGAACAAGCGCTACGGCGCCTGGGACAACGACACGCTGCTCCACATCGTCTGCCGCGAGGGCTACCTGCGCATGGTCGAGTTCATGGTCGACCCGAAGAACGTCAGCCAGTTCGACACCGCGCCGGAAACGACCAGTGAAACGGACGCGTCAACCTCTCTAGCTCGGCCAAATCGAAGTCGATTCGGCTGATTTTCGGACGGATCGTTTTCTCTCGGTGCGTTCTTTTCGGAGAGTGAAAGAACCATGTCGAAGCCGTGCGAACACATGCACATTGAAGTCGTGTTGACTCGTTTCCCGCCCAGGTTCGACACGACGGAGATCGACTTCAACGCGGAGAACAACAAGTGGCGCACGCCGCTCCACGTCGTCTTCACGCCGCCCCAGGAGACCTACTGCGCTCGGAAGATCGGCGTCCACGACGACGGCCTCCCGAAGGGCGAGAAGCCCGAGGGCGTCACCATCGACAGCGACTGGATCCGGCCGGGCACGGAGCGGCACCGCATGCAGGTCATCGAGCTGCTCATCGACAAGGGCGCGAACATCCACCAGATGGACTACCACGACCACAGTCCGCTCCACTACGCCTGCGTCTGGGGCTGGGTCGACACCGTGGAGCTGCTGCTGGAGAAGGGCGCGGACCCGCGTCGGTTCGGGGGGGGGGGTCCCGACCGAACGTCGCGCCGCTCGGTCCCATCGACGTCGTTTCGGCTGATGTTTGGACTAGTC